TAGGAAAGAAAATTATAGGAATAAATTATTTAACGTTTTACTAGCAAAAGATAAAAGTCACTAAATGAATGGAAAGGAGACAATTGAAAAAAAATAACTTTTAATAGCCTTTAAAATGACTACTAGAATTGTCACTAAACAAAAGTTTTCCTGACAATTTAGTAAGTCTTTACCAGCATTTTATATAAATACCGGTAATAGTATTAGCAATCCTGGATACACCAGCCATTATTTAAATGATGGTAAAAAAAATAATGGTTATTTATATAATCGCTAAAGAATAAATTAATTGTCACAAAAAATTAATTTTGGTGTATTATTTGTAGAAATAATTCTAAATTGCCTATTGTACAGATGCCATGACGGTTTGGTTAAACTTTGAATTGACTGCCGCCGTTTGTTTATTTTTTTTATTTTTTATTTTAAAAGGATAGTCCCATTATTTATCTTAAGAGCAATTAGATGTGCCTTGAAACCGAATTCATGAATTCAGATTAAAAGATGTTACATGGAATTTGTTGCATTGTATGTACCTACCAAAAATTAATATGCAAAACTGAATTGAATTATTCATATATGCCATTTCAAACAATTTAAAGTTTCTTGGATTTCTTTTTTTTCCTTTGAAGCTTCATATTAGAGGAAGAAATCCCGAAAATGTTTAGCAAAGCTAGAAAATGTAATTCATACAAATGCAAAAATAAGATATATTGATGTAATAGGAGATATAAAAGTGTGGTGACATTTTTTAAAATTAATGTCAAATGATACACTAATAAGAAAGTGGTATTTTAAATTGGTTATTTTGGGTGAAATAAAATTTGTTTTGGAATCAACTTTGTTTTTGAGCAATGTAGTTAGATGGTCATTTCAACATTTTTTTTTTACTGACAATAAAGTCAGTTAAAGTTATAACCCAGTTTATATAGTATATCCTAGAAGTGAACAACACCTCAAACACTTCATCATTAACATCAGGCACAGAGGAACATCAAAATACTACAACAAGATCAAAGATACTATTTAAAGGATAGCACATAAACCAATATTTTTAGTCTTTTAAGAGAACATGAACTTCATAAGCTCATTTCTCTAAATTCTAAACAGATGTTTTAGATAGATAAATTCTTAAGACAATGAAGATCATTTCTTCTTCTGACTACACCAAAAACATCTAGATCCTCCCCTAAAATTGAGATCAAGTGGTAGAAGCTTGCATTTCAACTAAAGAGGTTGGAAACGTAGATAGAAGTTGATCCCTGGGGGTTTATTGAGTTTTGTTTTTTCTTCCTTTTCTCCTTTCTTTGATAAGAAATAAAGGTAAAGGAAGTTTGTGGTTTAATTCCTTAAGTTGTTTTTAAATTTTTATTGTTTTTGTTGAACCTACTCTTGGCTCAATTGTTGAGAATTACTAATGTTTAACCAAGTTCTGAAGTTGAGGTTTTAAGAGAAAGAAACCTTGAAACCTAAGGATTTTGAGATTATGATGAATTTGTGTTACATGTTGATGAAATCATGCCTAAGGCACAAATACAAAAAGAACTAAAAGGAGTGAGCTAGGCTTGAAAGAAAAAAGCCTAAGCTCCTATTGAGCTTTGGATCACTCTTAATAATTTACTTTCTTTTATTTGTAAATATTTTTTCTTGTAAATATTTTCTTAATTTTGACCTTGTATTTTTGTATCAGATAGTTTAGTTTATTTCTTTGTAAATTTATTTTTAGATGTGTATTTACTAATTTAGAAGGATGCAACTAATACTTGGATATATGCTTATTGGGCTCATTTGGCCTATAAAATAGAAGGGTATGGTAGTCTAAGAGGTGGATGTCCACTTTCACCCTTCAAGTCCCTCTCATTAGTTCAAACAAACCCACTGATGTGAATCAAGAAGAAGCAATAATGGACTAGGAATATATTTATTAAAGTTATATTATTTATGTGTTTATATATATATATATATGATGAGGGTTCAAACGACACTGGTGTAACTTTAACTAAGTGTTACACCGCTCAATAACTTTATATTAAATGTGAATTTTGTAAATCCAACCGTTAGATGGAAAGTTCATATCTCTTAGATCATATATGTCAAATTTTGTTAAAATTGAACAACAACTTGAAGGTAATCAAAGTGTTCATATTTTAGTATATTTTGAAATGTATATATTACGTCAATTTTGTTTTATGAGAATGAAGTATCAAATC